AAGGTAAAATAAATGATGAAAGGTAGAAATATTCTATTTAAGAATGACGGCAGAAGAAACAGGATTAAAAGTTACAATGATTGTCACCCTATTTATAAGCTAAAACTAGGGTTACTAGAATATGATAAAATACTAAAATACCCTCTAACAAACTTAGGGCTTAAGAAAGTAATATAATAAAATATGAATTATTACTAATACCATCCCTTAATTCATATTCCATCAAAACTTGTAACACCAATTCCATCCCTTAATCTGAGAAATTGATCAGTCTTGATAGCTTTCGTCAGAACATCTGCCAACTGCTTCTGAGTGCTGCAGTGTACAACTTCTAACACTCCATTCTGAACTTGATGTCTCAGAAAATGATACTTGGTCTCAATATGCTTGCTTCTCCCATGCAACACTGGGTTTTTGGCAAGATTGATTGCAGACTTGTTGTCAATCATCAACTTCAGAGGTTTGTCTACCTTAATCTTCAGATCCTGCAACAGATTCAGAATCCACACAGCCTGGCATGCAGTAACAGCACCTGCAATGTATTCAGCTTCACAGGTTGACAACGCCACAACAGGTTGCTTCTTGGAACACCAAGAAATGGGACCTCCCAGAAATTTGAACAAGTACCCAGATGTACTTCTTCTGTCAACTCTGTCTCCACACCAATCCGAGTCTGAATAACTCAGAAGTTCTGACTCATTATTTCCTCCAGAGGGAAATAACACTCCATACTTCAGAGTTCCTTTGATATACCTCAGAATCCTGACAGCAGCTTGGTAATGGGACCACTTAGGTTTACTCATGAACCTACTAACCATCCCAACTGAGTAGCAAATATCAGGTCTGGTATTGCACAGATACCTCAGAGAACCAACCAACTGTTTGAAGGTTGTAGCATCCACATCCTTTCCTTCAGAGTCTGAATCCAGTTTCTGATTTGTATCAGAAGGTGTGACAACCATCTTACAATTCTTCAGATCAAATCTCTTCAGAAGTTCTAATTCATACTTGAGCTGATGCAAAATGATACCTTTCTCAGAATATCTGAACTCCATCCCTAGAAAGTATGTCATTTTGCCTAGATCAGTCATTTCAAATTCATTCATTAGAACCTTCTTGAACTTGGCTATCTCCTGTTCAGAACTTCCAGTCAATAGTATATCATCAACATATAAACATACCAGAGTCATATTGCCTTCAGAAGTATGCTGAACATAGACACCGTACTCCATCTCACATTTCTGAAAGCCTTGCTTCTTGAAAAATGAATCAATCTTCTGATTCCAAGCTCTGGGCGCTTGTTTCAATCCATATAGAGCTTTGTATAATCTGTACACCATCCCTTCCTGATTCTTTTTCAAAAATCCAGGAGGTTGTGACACGTAAACTTCTTCTTCTAATGGACCATTCAGAAATGCAGATTTTACATCTAAATGCATCAGAGGCCAATTCCTGTTAGCAGCTATTGCAATCACCATTCTGATTGTTTCATGTCTTGCTACAGGTGCAAACACTTCAGAATAATCCAGCCCAGGTTTCTGTAGAAATCCTCTGGCTACCAACCTTGCTTTATGTTTGCCAATTGAGCCATCTGGCTTTAACTTCTGCTTGAAAACCCATCTGACGCTGATGGCTTTCTTGTCTTTTGGAAGTTCTGTCAGCTTCCAAGTCTTGTTTCTCTCTATAGCATCAAGTTCTTCTTTCATGGCCTTCAGCCAGAGCTTCTGCTTAAGAGCCTTCTCTGTACTTATAGGTTCAGAGTCTACTAACATGGCACACTGAATAACTTCTCCTTCAGAGTCTACTTCAGTGTCTTGCAGCATGTCAAATTCTGCAAATCTTCTGGGAACGCTTCTGATTCTTTGTGGTCTCTGAACTTGTTCAGAGTCTTGAGCTTCAGATGATTGACCTCCAGAGCTTTGACCATCTTCAGAGTCTGGCATATTTCCAGAGTCTGAATTGCCACCAAGATCTGGATTGCCATCGGAGTCTGAATCATCAGAGTCTGGGTCATCTGGGTCACCTTCATCTTCTGAGTCTTCTTCAGAGTTTGAATCAGTATCAGAGTCAGATTCAATATCAGGGTTTACTTCAACTTCAGAAATTCTTAACTCTGGCCTTTCTTCAGAGGTTCTAACATCAGAATCAGATTGAGACTTATCCCAATTCCAAACTTCTGATTCCTTCACAATCACATCTCTGCTGAATTCAATTTTATTGGTTTCTGGACAATAGAGCTTGTATGCACCTGTACTGTGGTACCCTATCAGAATCATCACTTTGCTTCTATCATCCAGCTTCTGTCTTCTGGCTTCTGGAACATGTTTATAGCAAACAGAACCAAATACCTTCAGATGACTAACACTTTGCTTGTCTCCAGTCCACTTCTGCATAGGAACTATTTCCTTCAACTTCTTCGTAGGACATCTGTTGAGTACATACGTTGCAGTGGCAACAGCTTCTCCCCAGAGCTTCTGAGGAAGCTTCTTCTCCTTTAGCATGCTTCTCACCGTATCAAGCAAAGTACGGTTTCTTCTTTCAGCAAGACCATTGTGTTGAGGGGTATAAGGAGCAGTAACCTCATGCTCAATTCCATTCTCCTCACAGAACTTCTGGAACTCTTTGGAGTTATACTCACCTCCACCATCAGTTCTAAGAATCTTCAACTTCTGACCACTCTGATTCTCAGCCTTCATTCTGAACTTCTTGAATTCATCAAACACCTCGTGTTTGAACTTAATAAGAGATACCCATGTCATTCTTGTGAATTCATCAACAAACAACACAAAGTATTTGTTCCCTCCAATTGATGCTACTGGAAATGGACCACACACATCAGAGTGTACAACTCCCAAGGCATGTTTTGCTCTTGGAGCAACTTCTGATGCAAATGGCAATCTTGGTTGTTTTCCTTCCATGCAAACTTTGCATGACTTTTCAGGCTTCTTAATTGCAGGAATTCCATGTACCAATTTCTTTGAATTCAGATGTTGTAAGCTTCTGAAATTCAAATGACCAAATCTTCTGTGCCACAGCTCACTCTCCTTCTCAGTACTTGTTGCACTAAGACACTCTGAGTCTGCAGTTCTGACATTCACCTTGAATGTTCTATTCCTTCCCTGTTCTGACTCCATAATCAACTTCTGATTACAGTCATACAGCTTCAGAAGATTGTCCTTCATGGTAACTGAGAAACCTTTCTCAATTAATTGTCCCACACTCATCAGATTGCTTCTGATGCCAGGTACATACCACACATTCTGAATCAATGCTATTTTTCCATTGTTCAGAGTCACTCTGACATTTCCCATACCTTCTGCATTAAGATATTTGTCATCAGCACATCTGATCTTTGTTCTCTTTTCAGAGTCAAAGTCAACCAGCCATTTCTTGTTTCCAGTAAGATGATTTGAACAGCCAGTGTCCATATACCACCAGTCTGTCAGATCATCAGATTCAGAGGCCATCAATAGCACAGATTCGTCATCAGAACTTCTGGCTATATTTGCTTCTTCTGATTTCTTCTCCTTGTTTGACCAACAATCTCTAGCAAAGTGACTAAACTTCTTACAACAGTAACATTGGATCTTCTTCTTGTCATACTTCTCTTTTCCCTTTTGAGCATTCTTTTGTCTATCAGAGGTTGAGGTTTCTGACTTCTGACCACCATCAGATCTTCTCTTGGCTTCTGACTGCTTCTGATACCTCCTATCAGAAATTGCTTTCAGAGCCTGCTGCTCTACTTCCCTTTCAGAAGTTCTCTCAGTCAAACGCAACTCTTGCGCTTCTAAACTGCTCTGCAGCTCTTCAATTCTCATTGTGCTCAGATCTTTGGAATGTTCTATTGCTACCACAATGTAATCAAATTGAGGAGTAAGGGATCTCAATACTTTCTCCATGATTTTTTCTTCAGAAAGAGTTTCTCCACATGCCTTCATCTCATTAGTGATCAGAATCACTCTGGAGATGTATTCAGAAACTTTCTCATTATTCTTCATGTTGAGATTCTCATATTGCTTTCTCAAGGACTGAAGCTTCACCTTCTTCACTGATGCGTCACCACCATAACATCTCACCAGAGTGTCCCATGCAGCCTTTGCTGTTGTAGAGTCTGCAATCTTCTCAAACACGTTTACATCCACACATTGATGAATGAAGAACAATGTTTTCTGATCTTTCTTCCTTACTTCCTTCTGCGCGTTTTTCTGTTCATCGGTTGCATCTGCTGCTACTGGAACATAACCATCAGTGACAAGATCTAGAACATCTTGAGCACCAAATAGTACACGCATTTGGATCATCCAACGATTCCAGTTTTTACCATCAAATACTGGAAGTTTGGTGTTCATGTTGCCGTTTCCGTTCATCTTCTACTTTGCACAATACACTCAGATTTCTCACACAGTGTTTCCCAACCCACAGAATTAAAAAATTCTGATCAGATTTTGTTCAAGATTCAACACGAATCTAAGAATCAAAATCAAACACACAAGACCTCACGTTCACTCGTGTTTCCCGTGTTTCCCAATGAATCTGAACCGGAGCTCTAGATACCAATTGTTGGTGCAAAGGTAGAATAAATGATGAAAGGTAGAAATATTCTATTTAATAATGACGGCAGAAGAAACAGGATTAAAAGTTACAATGATTGTCACCCTATTTATAAGCTAAAACTAGGGTTACTAGAATAAGATAAAATACTAAAATACCCTCTAACAAACTTAGGGCTTAAGAAAGTAATATAATAAAATATGAATTATTACTAATATATAATAAGGTTTGCCTTGCGAAAGACATACAAAGCATTTACTGACATATTTGTTTTCTTACTCGAAACATTTACCAAGCACCTATATAACATTTGATGTGAAAGTTTTGAAAATCTCTACATGCATGGTGTGGTTGTCTTGTTCTTATCCAGTTACCCTTGAAGCAAAATATAGAAAACTACACTTTATCTAACGATCTAGATCAGCTACGGCAGTATCTATATCTACAACATGATGAGGGTTGTGCATAGATCAAAAAGAAGGGACATGAAATGGTTAATTCCCGGAAGATCTAGGGTTCTGATAATTTCTTTTCTTCTTCTTCTTTCAGCTTATCTTACTTCTTCTCAGCAACACACCGACCAAAAAACAACACCAGCTTCAACTTCAAGAAATGAAACCAAAGGAGTTGATGCTAATCATCATGCTAAAGTATTTTATAAACACACTTGGCCGGTAAGAGTGTTCAATATTTCATAAAATTTTACATGATTTTTTTAGGGTTATGTATACTGAATTGATAATCTTTGTGGTGCATGCAGGTGATGAAATTTGGGTGGAGAATAGTAGTTGGTACCATAATTGGATTTCTAGGATCATCATTTGGAACTGTGGGAGGTGTTGGTGGAGGTGGCATATTTGTTCCCATGCTTACTCTTATTATTGGATTCGATGCAAAATCAGCCACAGCAATATCAAAATGTAAGTATAGGTTGCTTCTTTTGCCTCATGAATCATGATGAATGCTAATAATTTTATATTATAAAATAAATAAAAAGATATGCAATAAAAATAGTTTTATTTCATGCAAGTATAGTATGAATCTTTATTCTAAGTATTGCAACATCTTAAGTAACTACGTACTAGTTTGTTGTTATGTTGTACCAGCATGAAATACAACATCGTTAAGTAACTTTTTTACTTTAGGTAGTTTCCATTTTATTTGGTAGAATATCTTTGTTCCTTTTTAATTAACGTAACTGTTTTATAACAACATGATGAAGAATAATAATATTTTTACCTATTTAGTAAATTCCATGCATACTTTCTTTGATCACTAGCACTCTTACATTTATCCATCTCAGATTCCGCAATGGATCATGTCATCAACATAAAAGCATACAGTCAACTTGTGCTTGTTTGTTGAATTCATACCATATATGCATCATGTTCATTTGCATATTATTCCACAAACCTTTGTTGAATTATGAATTCTCTTTCCATGGTTTAGATGTTTGTTTCAAACCATGTAGTCTTCCTCAACCTATCATTGTTTCAGAGCCTTGGGGTTAACTTACATATACTCTTATTCTAATTCTCAATTGGGGAAAGTTGACAATCCCATCTACCAGCAATTGTATCCACGTGTGCATATACTTCTTTGTAGTTTGGGCCATGTCTTTGCAGAAAAACCCTTTTCACAAGTCTTGATTTGTATTTTCCTACCTCACCATTTGGCTTCATCATAGTACTATGACCGACTACATATCTATACACTTCTTATCATTAGGAAATTTTATCAATATTTAAAGTATTATTCCCCTATATGGACTTCAACTCTTCTAACATAAGTTTCTTCAAATGTTACTCTTTTATTGCATGCTCTAAACAAGTAAGTTCTTGTTGTAAAATTAAAACATCAATTATGTACAGAAAGAACAATCAAATAAATGATCTTTAGTAAAAATAATTTTTTTTAAGAAGTTATTAAATTAATCTGGCAGAAGAAGATAAGTAGACAAAACACAATATTTGTTTCTCTAGTTCGATCAAACAATTTATTCTATAATAGAGGGCAACTCTTCGACTTATTATACTTCTAAGATTTGTAATAAAAAATTACAAATGAGTTCTAGAAAATAATCACTCAAGTTTTCAAGAACAAACCTATTTTATTTTCAAGTGTCTTCCAATCTCTCTAACTCTATATATATGAATTACACAAACCCGAAATGTTGAGAAATGTTTTTCAATCTCCCTTAAATTTCTCTAAAAACTTCTCAAACTCCAAAAACACGCTCTTAGAAATTTATTGTTATATCTCTTAGATTACTACTAGAATTTCAAAATTCTTCTCATCGTCTTGTTCTCAAAAGTTTTGAAGGCTTTGATAAATGAATGCAATAGATAAATATTTATAACAGTAGAAATCTAACAAATTTATAAAAAGTCTAAAACATAACACATTAACGAACGAATTCATGGATCAAAATGGAAAAGACCGAAATACATGAACTAAGAAAAATCTTATAAGATGACCGAAAACCCGAATTGTCGTTCGGTCGAACCATCGCTGTCAACTGGAGCTCTGCTAAATCCCGCCGACCGGTGGTCGGACCGCCGTCATGCAGATTCGGAGCCTTCTATCGACCTCATGGCTGCTTTTACGGCTTTTTGATTCCTGCAATCTTGAAATATGTTTTCTTTCTCTTCATCACTTAAGATTTTAAGGCATGCTTCAACAATCTCCACCTTGACTTGAAATCGTGGTGATGTCAATTTATCCATCAACCACCTTCTTGTTCTCTGCCAATTCAACATCTATCGAACATTTTTTATCAAGTTCAAGCCTTTCTTAAACCCTGATCTTGCCGCTTACATCCACTTGCTCTCATACAATTTTTTCTGTTTAAGTAGTCTAACAAACCCATAAGTATAATTCTTCAACCATCTTTGACTCCACCTTTTTTCGAATGCCTCTCTAAAGGCCCCTATTTCTGAATTTTTGCAACCCTAAAACCGCATTCAAAGCATAACATCCAAGGTTTGCATAATCATCCTTTTGAGATGGTACAATCTCTCTCCTTACTTTATCATGAGTCAAATGATAATCAAATGTCTCTTTAATCGTTTCATCACTACTACTAGTATTCATAGTAGGAACCTCTACCTCAAACAAAGTCTTCTATGTCATAGTTTCCAAAAATTTCATCCCTAGGTCTTTACTTTTCTTCCCCTGGTGGAACTCACTAAAAGTAATACATCTGCGTTTAATGAACTTTGATCCTTCAAAGTTCCACTTCTAATAGCTCATACCCTTCCTACCTCTTGGATAGTCATTAAAAACATAATCCAAAACTTTTCTATCAAGCTGAATTTGCTTGATTTGATCAATAAGTTTTTACGACCTTTAAAACATATTAGGTTACATTTTTCCTACTTGAACCCTTCATAATGTTTAGAAGTTAATTCATGTAAATGAATACCAGTTGATCAGGTAAGCTTATTAGGCACCAAGTTATCCCCAGAAACTCAATGAAAACTTAGCAGTCACATGTGTTTTCATCATTTGTCATATACAAAACTCATTAAAGTGATTTGAAACAACCTTCAGGCATCCATCATATCTTGACCTCAAATATCACAGTTTGTTCTTATCAAGAAAGTCTTTAGTAGCTGATGATGAATGAACAACAACGTTGGAACCTTCTAAAATATATAAACCACATATTTTAGACCTTTTACATATGATCCCTTCACTATGTGAAATCTTCAACATCCCAAGTTAAACTCTAGTGCAATAGACTAGAACATCAAACATGCTTATGAATAACAAATTTCGCCTGGCCTCTAGAACATACCTCATGTTGTCAAGAAGAAACTCATGATCATCGAGCATTTTAAGTCTGACCATACCAATACCATAGACCTTGCAAACCTTATTATCACTAAGGAGAACTATCCCACCTTGCTCCAACTTCAAAGTCTCAAAGTATTCTTTTCTTGGACATATGTGATAAGAGGAATTTAAGTCCATGACTCAACCCTCTCCGGTCTTCAACCTTGACACCACTAATTCATCATCACTCTCATTACTATCCTCATCATAGACAACTTTAATATGAACAAAATAATCATTGCAACTCTTTCAGGGACATTCTCCCATGAAGTAACCGATTTTTTAACAAGTGAAGCATTTTGCCCTTGAATTATCAAACCTCTTTGATTTATACATTCCTATATACTCATTTACTCCTCTTAAGACACTAAAACCTTCACCATTATTGACAGTGTTAAAATCTTTCACCTTTGAAACTTCTTTGGATTTTATATACATATGGACTTCATACAAAGTAATAGTACATTCCTTACCATAAAGAAGGGTACAAAAAATATTGGTAATGAGCTCAAAAAGAGTAGCTTCTTGTCATCTTCATCATCAATATCCACCTAAATATTCTATAGATCATCAATAACCTTGTGAAATTTTGTCAACTACTCCACTATGAATTTGTTCTCTACCACTTGGAATGATTAGATTTGTTCTTTCAAACACAAACTGTGAGTCAAAGACTTATTCATATATAATGATTCATGTTTTGACCACATCGAAGATGTAGTTTTCTCCCTAGAGACTTCCCTTAGAACGTCATCCACGAGGCACATGATAATGGTATTTATGGCCTTATCAACCATCTAGGTATTCTTCACTTTTATTAGGCATGTAGGAATCAATGCATCACCCTTAAATACTTCAAAACATTTCTCTTGAATAAAAAAATGTTGCATCTTCACTTTCAATAACCTAAAATCATTGTCTTCGAAAAACCTCTTGATATGCCATTTAGAATTCATTTGCCCCACAGTGAATGCCACTTGTTGTAAAATTGAAAATTTCAATCACACCAAGATATTTGATGTGCGGGTACAAGAAACATTGATAACTAAAATAAATCTATATGCAATAACACATCAATTTAACTTGGCAGAAGAAGATAAAGTAAATACAATAAACACAATAACTTATTTATCTAGTTTGATCAAACAATCTACTCTAAGGGAGATATCATCTCTCTGATTCACTATACTTCCAAGATTTGTAACAAAATATTACAAATGAGTTAAAAGAAAATAGTCATTAAAGTTCACAAGAACAAACCCTATTTCATACTCAAGTTTTTTCCAATATCTCCAACTTTATATCTAGGAATTACGCAGATGTTTAAAAGTGTTTCCCAAACCCCCTTAAATATCTTCAAGGTTTTCCTAAATTCCAAGAATACACTCTTAGTAATTCACATTGCCTTATCTAAGATTACCGTTAGGATTCCAAACCCCTTCTTTCTGTCTTCAGCTCTAAAGTTTTGAAGGTTGTGATAATAAGAATGTAAAAGATACATAGTTATAATTGTTGAAATCCAACGTATCCATAAGAAGCACAAAACACGACCTATTAACAAACAAATTCATGGACCAAAACAGAGACGGCTAAAACACACAAACTGAAGAAAAAAATTGAACAAGACGAGCAAAAACCCGAAAAGCCGCCCGGATGAGAGGCATGGTATAACACCCTTATTCTACCCCACAAATATTACGGCAAAATAACACGGATTTCAGAGTAAAATATTAACTTTCATAAAAAGCCACAAAAGGGTGTACACTTCTCAAAGTCAACAAAATTGGTCAATACTCCGTAACACACGGATTTCCTCAAAATATATCAAAACATCATATACAGCGGAACTCAAAACATAACTCAATGTTTTCCTCATAAGGAAACATCAGTAAAATAACCCAATGATATACAATCAACTCAAAGAACCCAACCCGATGTTACATATCAGAGCAAGACCCTCTAAATTAACCATAAAGGCTAACGACTCTAAAACTTCAAAATACTCCTCGACGGCGTCCACGGCTAAACTTGCTCATCTGCACGTTACCCACGTGGAGGTAACATTCAAACAGGCAGGGTGAGT